CCCAATTTCATTATCATTGCATTTCAGCAATTTTTCATTAAAAAATTTATTTTCAGTGAAATTCTGCAAATTTCATAATATACAACATTTATAAAATTTTTTCACTAATTTTTAGTAATATTAATTAATTTTTATCTAATTCCACAGTATTTCGTTGAATTTCATAACGAAACTTATGATTTATTTTGAAATGGTTTCAACAAGTTTCCAATAACTTTCATTTCACTTTTCATTAATTTCATTACATTTTCAGCCAAATTTTTCCATCAGGGTATCCCTGATAATATCAAAATAAATCAGAAGTTTCGTTATGAAATTCAATGAAATACTGTGAAATTAGATGAAAGTTAATTAATATTACTAAAAATTAGTGAAAAAAATTTTGAAATGTTGTATATTATGAAATTTGCAGAATTTCACTGAAAATAAATTTTTTAATGAAAAATTGCTGAAATGATAATGAAATTGGGTCAATTGCAAGAGATTTTCAACCAAATTTCAGCAAATTTCATTACATTTTCAGCAAAATTTTTCCATCACGGTATTTATTAATAAACATCCTTTTCACGTCCTAAAAACGTCCAGTTTTGGTCCGGCGGGGCCTTAAATCAGACGTTTTTAGGACATCCATAAAAGTAACATTGGACGTTTTTAAAACGTCCTAAAGATGTTCATGGATCTAAAATGGACGTTTTAAATACTTACGTAACGTCCAATATGTACGTTTTTAATACGTCTTTAAAACGTTTTTGTGCTGTTTGGGAATATATGTACCTAAGTCCATCAGTGTGTTCTTTGTGCAAGAGGGCTTCTGTAGTGTCCTGCACACAGATGACACAGACTGTGGAAACCAGTGCTGCCAGGTTTGGCCAGGTTTGCATCTCTGCAAGGCAGCCGGGCGCGTGGAGAGGGTACAGTGGGGGTAGCGCTGAACGCTCGGCTATATCACAGTATAACCAGTAGTGGCACTCGCTCTTTTGTTTCACGTTCGCGCCGATCCGTACTGCGCATCCGACATGTTTTTATTCTGACCAATCACAGGATTTTTGTACGTGTGTTAGTGCAAAGTCGGTGTGACATTGAAAAATTCGCAGTGTTGACGAATAATGGGTAAATATAACTTTTATACGTTGGAGCAAGTAATTACATTAATTACTTTTATTAGAACATTTTCTTTCATAGGCCATTTCCATTTATAATAAATAATGTATGCCAGTTCGTATGTGCCTTTCCTGGATACGATCCTGAAAAGGGCCCAGGCACTTTCAGCCGTTGATACACTGTTGGCGCGAATAAAAACATGGCGGAAAATTGAGAACGCCCAGATCAAAGGCGCCGACAGAGAGTGCAACTACTGGTTATACTGTGGCTATATCGTCGTGCGCGTAGAAGAGCGCGGACATATCTGCTGTCTCTTTCTCTCTACGCCGTGACGATAGAAGAGCGCGGATATATCTGCCGTCTCTTTCGCTCTACGCCGTGACGATAGAAGTTTGGCGATTCTTTGGGATTAGACAAGTGTGTTTTTACGAAAAAAAAACGGCAATTTTATTGGTTTATCCGTTTTTCGGATCGAGATCTCAGACCGATTTCTAGCATCGTGGACATAATTAAAGCTTTAGGGTCGATTTTTCTAACCTTTTGGTAAACTGATAGATAAATCATATAATTATTTTTAATTTTTCTTCAAATTACACACAACGGGTTAAAACATTAGTCCTTAACCATTAACATGTTTTAGAAATAAATTAGCTGAAAATTTTCAAATTTATTACATGAGAAAGGTTTCAGAAATAGCTCAACAAAAAGGTTTATAAAATATTTTATGTGAAACAATTCAGAGATAACTCGGCTGAAAGATTTGAAAAATTATTTTCAGGTGGAAGTTTTTAGAAACATTTCTGTTACAACATTTCATATAACATATTGCAGAATTCTTTCAGAATAGTTACACATGAAATATGAAAGGTTGAAATGATTTTGAAATCTTTCTGAAAGCTTTCTGCAACAATCGGTGCTGTATAGGGCAAGACGCTAGGCCGCAACGCAAAAGATAGACCAATCACGGTGAAGTATGAGAAGAATGATCGACTGTCACTGGCCGATTTCTTGCATTTTGCGTCCGTTGTAGAATAAGCTTTATTGCGAACTGCGAGATTTGAATTCTTATTTCTTTGGGAGCATTCCGTTTCACGCATGATGCATCATTTATTCTTATTTAATATTAGGTGAGCAACAAGGATAAATGAAGCATTATGCGTATCATGCGTGAAACGGACTGTACTCTTTCAACCAACGTAACAATTGTACCACGGCCAAGCCGTACATAAACTCAATAAGTACAATGTCAATCCTCGATCCTTTTAATCTGTATAATGATTTGATATCATCCGACGATGTCGTATCTCATCGGCGTTTCTCGTTTGCTAATAAGGCTGCAATCGCCGCCTCAAGGAAGCTCGCAACCTCCCTTGAGATAAGGGAGCCAATAAGGCTCCTTGTTTGCTCAAGGAAGGTATCTGAAACGTGGAATGAGGAACAAGGAATTCTTATTCCTCAAGGAAGGACTATGAATACGGGTATTACTCTTCTAATTAATCTCTTATCGGATAGAGAGGTTGGAGCGCTAGGCGCCTCTTCTTAATTATTGTTCATCTTCCATTCCTGCGAACCACGATGACCTTGCGCCAGGTAGCGGGATTTGTTCAGGGGATCTCTCCAATAAGGAAGCTTCGGAGATGATCCCCTGCTCGAACGGCGGCATTTTGGCAATGCCTGCTCGACAGGATAGACCAAGCGATCCGCACGTTTCAGGTGTGTACGAAAATTCCGGCCCTATTAATCAAGCAGCGGAATCGACACAACCTTTTCCGATTCTCGGAATAACCGCTCGTCTTTTATAATCCCGGATAAGGATCCTTCGGGGAAAGCTTCTCCTTCGCCCCCCTCTCTGGATATTCAGGCAACGATTAATCCCAGGGCGTCTGACGAGACGGATATATGGTATTGTCAAAGGAGCTTATCGGCGTTGAACTAGAGAGTTCAGAGACCATAGCCTGGAACGATCGGGTCTCGCAAAAATGGCGTGACCTCGTCCGTAGCGAATCGGTGGAGGGTCAACGCACCATCCTAATTGACAAATATTCGCCTTCCAACTAAATGGACTTTCTCAGGGCTCCAGAACTTAATGCTGAATGTAAGTCAGCTCTCAAGAATAATTCAGTGGTCAAGAGAGACGAACATAGCTGCGCAAACCAGAATCAAGTAGGTATGGCCTTATTCGCCTTAGAGATATAAACGACTAAACCATTTGCATGCCTGCCGGGTCCGGCCTTCCGCTCCTTGTGCGCTCATTCGGCCAGACGTTTTTATCAATCACGCGATAATTTTGCAAAACGATACATGACTTTTTTTCTCAGTTTAACCCAATCTACCGTAATTTTTAGTTTGGCTACTAACGAGTCTGACACCCTGTATAATTGTGCCTTTGGTTCTACAAATTGATAGTTGCATCGAACTTTTATGATAATTGTATAAACAATAATAAATTTAAAAGTAATTAAAAATAATTTTTTATATTGTTTAAAGCATGTTACTAATTCATTTAATAGTAAGAATGCAATATTGTTTATTGCATTCTTCCTAATAAATATAGAATTAATATAGGATGATAAGATCTTTCTACACATATCAAAATCGCAATAATTCTCGAGAAAAACCGTACAAAATTTTAGAAAAGGATGAACTTATGCGTGTAGCATAAGTAGCGTGTGATACAAGAAAAGGAAAGAAGTCAAATGACGATGATAACGATGACTTACTTAATAACTTTCATATGTGGACTTTAGATTAAAGTATATCTGCTATCGGCTCTTGTCTCACGTAACACTACACGTAAAGATCGGCCTCGCTACGCATGAACTAGGCACGAAGCACGACTGTGCGTTTCAATAGTTTATTGCATCAGTCCCACCTATTTGAATTCTCTGCTAATATCAAATCGTTCCTTTTCTCAAAATTATAACATGAATGTGAATGTTGCGTGAGCGAAATTCATTCCTAAAAACTATTGAAACGTAAGTGTATCATTTGAGTGAAACATGTATTACTTCCTACATAAATATTTATTTTCTTTCGCCGACGGAATATTTCCTCGTTGAAATTACTATGTAGCGCACAATGGAAAATTCCGTTGCGCATTGAAATACGACAAGAACACTTTATTGCACAATATTTATAATCGCAATAAAAGGTATACTACGAGTCGAAGGTCCAATCTTTTGGTAACTAACAGTCAAATCATATATAGGTCTTTATTTCTTCTTCACTTTAGGCAAAGATAGACGTATAATTTAACTCTTACTTATCTTCCTAAATGGTTGAAAAAACCGACACTATGTATACGATAGAAAAATTAAGATAACGTAAGAAAGCAAAGTCGTTCTGTAATATTTAGGATGTGAATAAAATAGCATACATAGTACATCTGGGATATCATACAAAACTCTTGATTCACTTCTTACTTTCTTATGATATCTAAAATATGCATAGATACATATCTTCGGAAAATGATAGAGGTATCTTGTCTATGCAATCATTTCCTAATGCTTTTGCAAGCAGGAAATGTTACGGCTTACTAAATTCACACACGCAAGGTGATTCGTCTCTCACATACATGCTTCATAATAATTTTCTTTGTGTACGCCCCACACGATACGGAAAAACGTAATATGTATTCTTCCACACTTCTACAGTAATACCCCTTTGCTACATCCTTTCAACGTAATATGGTAGCGAATACGCGGGGCATTCATTATGTAACGGCTCGCGAAAGAATTTCCATTTCCCATATCACCAACTTGCAATACGTTACCATACATCGCGAATTACAGTCATGCGAAGAAAGGTGTTGCTAACGGAGGTGATTTACGCCGTGAAATTAAGTGTGTCTCCAATTGGCTGTTGGCCTTTACCGCAAGATGCTACAAAATTTAAGATATTCTGTTTGAAACTGTATCATTATTTCTGTATTGTCATGACTGTGTGTCTAGCGGCACCAATGACATATGCTGTCATATATAGCCTTAACGATCCTCTTAATATAGTACAAATAACTTCTATAACAAGCGGCCTTTACCATACCATGTGTAATTTCTTTTTTTATAAAATTAATTACCATCGCATACAGGTAATCAATTATCCGATCAATCCTATAAGCACACGGTGGTATTGTTCAATATTTCCTGTAATGTAACACGAGCGACGTCGCAATGCGAAAGGAATTTAGAGAAGTCACACTGCATTCCATGTATATCTTACACTGTATTCTATCATGGAACGTCGCCAGTTTCGTAAACTTGCAAAATACTTTGTACCACGGTTCCCACTTGTTATCAATTGTTATCTATTTAAGCAACAAACCAATACTTTGTAGAACCCAGCGAATTTCTTTTATGCTGACTTTTATATTAACTGAATTTAATAAACATTTAACATACCATGCGTTTATAGGAAATATTGAAAGATTCATACTCATTTTAATTACAGATTCACGTTTCTTACCACTATATCCTCTATATCAATAACAATTATTTCAATGTTAACAGCAATTATTTACAGAATGTTACTGTCGAAATGGTACATTTCAATAACTTAATGAAACCACGCGAAGAAATCGTGATTCAGCGATATATTGACAAATGTTTCGTGTTGTATGGAGCATCTCTGATTACTTTTTACTTGGTAACAATAGTAACTGTATTCTTACCTGCTATGACGGAACAATCATTTCCAACATTAGCCAAATATCCATTCGATGTGTCTTATCAACCGCTAAAAGCAATAATCTATGTACAACAATCTGCAGTCGGATTCATGGTAACAGGACAACTATGTATAAATGTTTATATGGCTTTATTGCTCTGGTTCACAGCGGCAAGATTTGATATTCTAATTGAAGAACTCAAGACAGTTACAAATGTCTATGAGTTGTGCAAATGTATTAAAACACATCAAGAATTACTCAAGTACGTAAAATAATTTTTATCTATCTAATATAGGAATAATCTAGTTTAGGAGATCTCAATCTCTCTATGACTCACAAGCCGGATTTGTTCCTCGTAAAGTTTTATTTGACTCGCCATGAAAATTTCTAATGCAATTTTTAAAAATAAAAAATTTTTTCCGGTCACCGGTTAAATTACAAAAATTTTAATGCGCCTTCTTTATAAAAAAGATCTTCGCTAAAGGACCTTCAATTTGAAAAGATTTAAGCGATGCTGATTTATTTAGGTATGCAAACGAAGTTGCAATTGCTGCCCGTCCTTTCGCATTTATTTCAATATGTTGTAGCACTGTTAGCTTAATAACAGTCTTACTTATGCTTATTACAGTAAGTACATGTAACACATATTATAAAAATTTACTATTTATATTTTTTTCCGCTAAATTTATGCATTAATATCGTGATTATCAAACAAACCTAAAATATCCTATAATAGAAATTACGTGTATGCAATACACATACGAGTATGTACATCATCAAATCAGTATACATATGTATATTCTTGATTTATTTTCACAAATAGGAAATAATTTTGATAAATTAAATCTGAAAATTGTAGTGTAAGAGCACAAAAATGTAAGAACATTACAGTACATCCATATTTTTTGCATAGAAGCCACCTCTACTATTTTCACTCCAGTATAGTGCTATAGCTACAGCAGGTATAGCAGAAGTATTTATGTATATGTGGCCAGCAGAATTTTTGATGCGTACGGTAAATTACTTGTCATTCAAATTTACTATTTTATTTTGTGTTATTAATTGTAATTTAAAAAATATTAATTATTTTTTCCCCAGAACTATGAAGTCGGACATGTAGCATTCAATTTACTCGAAAACAACCATTTGAGTAATTTCATTCAAATATGGGAACATCTGCAATTTATTATAATGCGATGTCAAGAACCAATAATGGTTACAATTCCTTGTCTTATGCCGTCACTATCTTTTAATTATTTTACCAGAGTAAGATCAAATTGTGAATTGATTTGAAAAAAATGATTAAAGATACTAATACACATCATCCTTATTACGTATTTAGCATCATCAGAAACAATTCCATATTTTTGCAAGTTTTCTATTAATATTTGTTTTCATTATTACTAAATATTTAAACTATAAAATGATAAAATATATCTTTGAAGATAAAAAAGATACGAATGAAATTACAATGGAATCTTTATGTATTATCAAACATTTACTTTGTTCTATGTTACAGTATCTTTCGACCATACTCTCCTATTTCACAACACTGCGTGTAATGATGGACGATGGATAAATAAAAGTAAACTCAATATATTGTATGCAATTGAAATATACTTGAAACGACCATTTCAAGTAATTAAAATTTGCACTACGAAAAGTTCTTGTATTACGTTTTTGTTAAAATAGTCAATATCTTGAATAGTTGTAAAAATACAATTATTTTACCAGTAAACTGTCATAATTAGTTTGATTTGGCGATGATAGATTTAATTTAATTGTACTTATTATCGCGCAATACCCCAATCAGCGAACAATGTTTTGGAAATGTTTTTTAATACATACTTTTTATTAATTATAAATTGTGTAATTTATTGTACAAAACTATTATTCAACAATAACTAGTCAAGTGTAATAATGATTTAGAGGAAATAGTTAAGTAACATTTATTGAACGTTTATATACTATTTATATAATTTATTTTATATTTTATATGTTATACTGATTTTATATATAACATTAATTTAAAATAATACCCTAGTAGCACAGTGCATTGGCTAAATATTAGTTCAATGGTTGGTTATATTAGATATCAGGATTGGGAAGTAACTCGTTACTTGTAACGAAGTTACAGTTAGTTTTTTTTTTGAGAACTCTAACTTAACTTCATTACTTTCTCTCGATCTGTAATTGTAATTTAACTCAGTTACATTTTTTCCATAACTATAATTTCATAGTTTCATTAATACTCGACTATCTGTATTTTAGTGGCGATTGACATTTGATTAATTATCAACTTAATATTGAGACAAGTCGCAACACCATCGTTTTCGCTCCTGCCAATCCTATTTACCAGTTTTCTTCCTTATTGCAAATAACTGTGATATAACTAGATGACTTATGACTGAGAAAATGTTTGTGAATCTAAATTGCAACACAGTTTTGCATATTCTCCTGTGAGAGGAATCAATTTATTTCGTATGTTCTTAATAATATTAATATTCAGGATGATTCAGAATGGTTGCACCAATTTTTTACCACAGGAACTGGATTACTCACAACTGTAGTCAGTCCTGAACAAATGGAAAAATATTGCTAGTCTCAATCATGTAATATCTAATTGTATCTCGAGAAATATAATATTCCTAATACAAAAATCAAGGAAAGTCTACAATTTGCGGAACTACAGTTACACCTCGGATTCGTAAATGTATTTCTGACAAGTTGTAAATTACAGCGAGCCGACAAACAGAGAAAATATAATTTTATCAAATTTAAAGGAATAAAAAGTGTGCGTGTATGCACACAAGTATACGTGCAGGTTTCAATATGGCATCTATTCGCGCACTTTTTGTCACATGACTCGCTTTAGTTCGCCACTCCTAGGTCCTCGGTATGGTGACGCTGAAAATCGTACGCTTCATTCTAGATTCTAGGAGGGGAGTTTGTTTGGAGTCTTCGGTTGGCTCGATTCGACTGTCGGTGTTAGACAAGAGGTTACTCTTGTATAACCTATTTTGATCGCATTGGCGAGATTAACTGTTAATTGGTTAGAATTAATTAATGCCTCAACTTTTAATTACGCATTTCGAGATTTAAATGTATGTACAAACGTGATATATATATACTTAATTGACTATTAATGCAGTGAATTCATTAAATTGCTGTTGTAACGTGTCAATTATGTTGTGACTGCCCACATCGGGCAGGGTGAGAAATTACATATCAATATGCTAAGAAACAAAGAGGGCTTGTGAGACAAATATGACCGACTCGACGCAGGTAATTATGACTTAACATCGAGTATATGGCCCCTCGTTTGTCTAACAAGAGGCACGGCAGTGTCTCGCGACAGTATGTCATTATCCCCTTTATTTCTCCCAACAAAGTCCTCTATTCAATTTTCATTGTTCGCATCTTCAAGAATTTTCGAAAAGTGTCCTAAAACGCATATTTGTCATCACACTTAATTGAATGAAAATTGTTTAATCTTCTATGCATCTATAGATTCCTGTGCATACTCTGTTTCATCATTATCTTCATGATTTTCGTGCTTTTCAATTTCTTCCGCAGATTTCTGTGTAGATTCTACTTTCTCACAAATTTTTTGTTTCTATTATTACGCATCTACTATTGATGTGTAAAACAATACATAGAATTATATTCTGTATTGATTTGCAGCTTACTGGGCCTCCGCCCATCTGGCCTGACATCAGGTCAGAGCTGCGGGAATTCATCGAGTGCCCTGAACGATTACCCATTCATCAGCTGGACAATACCCAGTGTTACTGGCCACGCAAGGCCGACGTTCTTTCGTTGCTGGAATTTGACCTGGCTCCGGTCAGTACCACCCTGAAGTTTGACCGCGATCCAATAACGGGCAAAATTGGTGAGATACAAGAGGTCAGCATGCAAGGAGCGGGCGAGACAGCGAGGAATTCCATGTCTATGACCCGTGCACCCGGATCACTCGCCGACGGAGTTCGAGGTACTCTAGTTTTATCTCAATTGTAGTATATCGATGAAACAAACATGTCAGATGAATGGCTGCGTCTTCCGTAGGTAATCCCAGCAACATTCCGTTTTGGCCTGGTGGTTTCGACGAGCCTGAAGTGCCTGTTGATGAAATCGTGGGCGATATCGACTTCGAGAAGAATTTAAGGGCGCTGGCTAAGGGATTTAGCTCGGGTTTGGAGTTCAAAAGTGACAATTGCACCCCGATCAATTGCACGAACAACGAGGCGGAAGCCTCGGCGTCCGAGGGAACTGAAAAATTAGTCAATAACGATAACATAAACTTACTGGCTGTCGTACACGAGGAGGGAAATTTGCTAGGCTCGTGGTCTTCGGTCGAGGAGACGAGGAAGGAAAACGTTCAAATTTTGGACAGCGACGTTCCTTTCGTGGACAACTCCATTTTACCCGAGGATACGAATATACCTGTCTTGAAAATATCCGAGAAGCAAGCAGAACTTACGAAAACAGACTGGGCGGAGCAGCTGGACGTGTCCGCACCAGTGACAGACTTTGACAAGAGAATAACTGACCCGGCAATCAAATTTAATTACGAGCTGGACACCTTTCAGAAACAAGCCATCCTGAAATTGGAGGAGAACAGCAACGTCTTCGTTGCTGCGCACACGTCGGCGGGGAAGACTACCGTTGCTGAGTACGCCATTGCATTGAGCCAAAAGCACATGACGAGGTAAAGCTACAAGTTGAAGAATTAACTTTGCGGCGCTGTTCTTGTTATGTTCGGCTGGACAGTTTCCCTTCTAATTTTTTGTGTCATTGCAGAGTGATTTATACGTCTCCAATAAAAGCACTGTCAAATCAGAAATATCGCGATTTCAAGAGAAAGTTCGAGAGCGTTGGGCTGCTAACAGGTGACTTGCAAATAAATCAAACTGCTTCGTGCTTAATCATGACTACGGAGATCCTACAATCGATGCTGTACTGCGCGTCCGATGTTCTGCGAGATCTGGAATTCGTTATATTTGACGAAGTGCATTATATAAATAATGAAGATGTGCGTAATACTAATTTTACAACGAGTAGCGCATTACATTTCTACAATTGGACAATCTGTAAAAATTGCCTTGTACTTTTAGCGGGGTCACGTGTGGGAGGAAATAGTCATTCTTTTGCCGCAGAATATTAATATAGTAATGTTGTCTGCGACTGTACCGAACCCGATAATATTCGCGGACTGGGTCGGCCGTATCAAAAAGCGAAAGATGTACGTGATTAGCACTTTGAAAAGGCCGATACCTCTTTTGCACTACTTGTACACTGGCACCGACGGCAAGACTAGGGATGACAAATTCTTAGTTGTCGACAGCAACGGCCAGTTTTTGTTGGACGGGTATATTATTCCTCTTCCTATCTTTATTTTTGAGTGAACGAAAGAATGAGATGATACAATGACACTTTAATACTTGATCCAGATGGTACAAAGCATCAAATGCGTCCGATAAAAAGAAAGACAAAACCCCGAAGGACTGTAGAAGAAAAATTCAGATGACGCCGAAACAGGAGGAGGTATTGTGGAGAGCGTTTGTGAGCCATCTTCAGAGCAACGTACGTTGTCGAGAGCGCATGCGTTTTATTCTACGGAGAAGTTGTATACGATAATAATTTAATAACGCTGTCAATTTTATAGGATATGTTACCCGTTGTTGTGTTTACACTGTCGAGAAGACGCTGCGATATGAACGCTGCCACGTTGAGGAATCTCGATTTGACGACCGCGAGGGAAAAGCATCAGGTGCATGTATTTTTCCAATCTAACATAAAACACCTGAAGGGTAGCGACAGAGAATTGCCGCAAGTACTTATGATGCAAGAGCTCTTGGTAAAAGGCGTGGGTATACATCACAGTGGGATATTGCCAATTTTGAGGGAGATTGTGGAGATGTTATTTCAGAACGGAGTTGTGAAGGTAATTTTATAAAGGAAACATTGGAAAACAAATGGACGCACAATTTAAAAAAGTTTCGAAGATAAGCAAAGATTCAGGTGTAACGAAATTGCATTTTACCACGTTTTTAGTTGCTATTTGCGACAGAAACTTTTGCCATGGGGGTCAACATGCCGGCGCGCACGGTGGTGTTCGATTCCATACGAAAGTACGACGGGAACAACTTTCGCACCCTTTATCCGACCGAATACATACAGATGGCTGGCCGTGCTGGGCGACGAGGTCACGATACCACGGGGACTGTTATAATGATGTGCAGAAACGACGTGCCGCATTTTAACGACTTGAAACCCATGATGTGCGGTGACCCGCAAACGTTGGAGTCCAAGTTCAAAGTCACGTATTCCATGCTTCTAAATTTGAGGAGAGTCAACGAATCCGTTACGGTCGAAGCGATGATGCGCAAATCTTTCAAGGAATCGCCGTTGGCCTCGCAGGAAGCGTCGTATAACAACGAATTGCGGAATATCGAGCGCGAATTGTCGAACCTGCCGCCTCTGACCGAGATGCAAAAGAAGCTCTCCACGTTCTATCACGAGGCGATCGATTATGTGGAAGATGTCCAATTTCTAAACCCTTACTTTTTCAATTCAAAGAAGACGGCGAAAAGTTTAACCGAGGGTAGAGTCTTGTTAATATCATACGCGAATCATTACAACAAACTGGCCCTGTTACTGCAAGTTCAATATCATAAAAACTCTACTCAGTACAAAGTCTTGATACTTAAGGATGCGAATGTATCCACCTTCGGAGTTGACGAGTTCAAGAATCCTCAGATATTCGAGAAGTGGTGCGAGATTATCGGCCTAACGAAGAAAGAGATATTTGTCCCGAGCATTAATCCGTCCCACGAAGTTGTGACTATATTTTCGTGGCATATATTGAAAATAACTAATTGCCAGATAAAAGTTGACTGTTCTTTGGTATTAAAGGATTGGGAAAAGAGGCAGATCTCACGATTCAAGTAAGAAACGGTACAGCAAAGTGGTAGGTACTCTTGGAGCTTGTACTCATAGATTATTTCTTCTTTTTAGGAATGATCCACCGGGACAAACGTGTCAGACAGCGGTTCAAGAATTGACTTCTCTATCGTTTAACGCTTCTACCAATGCTCTTGTTCTACAGCCTTATTTCAAGCTCTCGTCGAAAAATGATTTTCAACTGAGGATACAACATAGGGACAAATTGAAAGCTAAGCTGGACAACATGAAGTGCAAGGAAATACCAAACTTTGAAGAACAATTTAGACCCGTATTCGAGCGGAATCAGCTTGAGGACAAAAAGCGACAGCTCCAACTTAAACTCAGCGACGAGGGAATGGCATTGTATCCAGATTATCTGAATATGGTAGCACTCCTGAAACATTTTAGGTACATAGACAATGATGAAAGAGGTTCGTATTAATCAGAGTATATAATAGTTATAGATTTAGTATTTAGTAAAGCGCAATTAACAAATTATCAATACCGTTACTCATTAGTCGCCCTAAAAGGAAGAGTCGCGCTACAAATGGGTAGTAACGAACTGCTGATAACAGAGTTGATCCTGAAAAATGTGTTGACCGTTTTACAACCGGCAGAAATAGTAGCGTTACTATCAGCGCTGATCTTCCAGCAACGCACGGAATACGAACCTCAACTCCCGCCAAATCTCACAAGCGTATGTGTCGTCCTCTTTCTAACCGAACCAAGTATCTAAAAAGTTATACATTGCGATAAGAGATAAGTTAAAACAACTTGCTCTTCAGGCTTGCAAGATAATGACGGAGGTGCACGCGGAGTTGGAGCATCTAGAGCAATACTATCAACTGTCGACGTTATTACCGTTGAATTTCGGCTTGGTGGAGGTTGTCTACGAATGGGCGCAGGCCAAGTCGTTCGCCGAGATCATGAAGATGACGGATGTCCAGGAGGGAATTATAGTCCGTTGCATACAGCAACTCGGCGAGACGTTACAGGACGTTAAAAATGCGGCTGTAACGATAGGCGATCCGGTTTTGAAAGAGAAGATGGAGGAAGCTTCAACCGCGATCAAACGCGACATAGTCTTCGCCGCGTCCTTATACACCCAAGACTGATCACGAATGAACAATTTACCTCTCGATACTATTGATAAGATCGATGTATTTTTTTATAAAAGAGAAAATCATCTAGGTGTATTACTACGAGTACGTTCTGTTTGTAAAAAAATATCCATAAGAATGTACGATATGTACAAATAATGTTTGTCGCAATAAAGATGAGTCGGATAAACGTCACTGTTATAACAATGGAAAGTTTAAGCGACCTTAACTGGCACATGTTTAATAACTGCTAGTTACATAAATGTACAATGCGCGACGTTTCGACCATGGGTTTCGGTCCTTTTCAAGCGCAATTTCTTCAATTCAGTCAGGCCTGTGCGCGATTAAGCGATAAAAACCAAAAGTCGAGTCGTGATATTAAAATTGGTAAGCACGAAGATAAAGTACGTGCGCTGTCTACAAAGGCCGGGGAACGACTGTTATATTTCGACTAAATGCTAATCGATAATCAAACGCTAGCGGTATATAACTCGTACTGACTTTGCTCAAAAAAATTACCCCGATATTAATTTATAACGATTACTTTATATTATTTTACACACTCTCCGTTAAGGCAACAATTACAAGGCGCGTTGATCCGGATTGTTAAGATTCCCCTGATCTTTGTTCAGTTCCGAGATGCACGCCCACTGTCTCAGAATTCTCGCGCCAGAGCGAAACAATGTTATCCCCGCCGCTGACCGCCAGGATACTGCCTGTCAACGACCAGCTGACATTCCAGATAACGTCGTCGATGATATTTAGAACGTTCGGTATGGGTGTATCCAAACTTGTCTAGGGCGGGGGGGGGGGGCAGAACAGGATTCACCCGTAGGCGAATTATGCAGCATGAATTAAACTACGTACTTATAAAAAATATTTGTATTTATACAAAAATTAATTTTCTAGGATCCTCGGCAAATCTATTAATTGTATTATTCGTAAAAGAAGCACCCATGCTTTCAACCAAATTTCGGTGGACGCTGAGCACGCACAAGCCATTTAAGCGGTTTTCGATCATTGTCGACTGCAGCCAAGTCTTGGCGCGCCCTCGGACGCGCCTAAGAGTGCTGAAAGACCTTGCCATAGTAGCGGTAGTATACGGACGGCATCGCCAAGAGAATCTGAATTTTACTTTACTCTTACTGAAATCTTTATTTTACTCTTACCATTTCGTAATTCTTGTACTGTAAAAATATCGATATTTGATCAATACATAATGAAGTCATAATTATTAATTATAGGCATAAACGCCAGCCTGTTTCCCTTGAGGACGGCTACCAGGCTCCGAGTGCCGTTCTTCAAATCGAATATCTTCACCGAGTTGTCGCTCGAGCAGGTTGCTAACCTCAAACCATAGTAATCCATCTCGGCGTCGTGAACCATGTCCTCGTGGCCGGTGTCGACGGTATTCAAAACGGACACCATTTTTTTCCAAGGGTCAGCTGTCGCGTGCGAGACTTCGAATGTGCGAGGGGATCGTCCCCTAAGGTACGAAGGCGAGCGCGGATGTCGTGCAGGTTATGTTGACGCAGCGTCATGGAGCCATAGACTTCTATAGACGGAGCCTTTGTACGAGGGGTAACTGATAATCGCGGTAAGGGGATCACTCGTCTGACTTCGACTCTTTCCGGTGAGATTCGGTAATATTCGGTTCACATTTCCAATACGTGTGCACACGTCCCCTCCAATCATCCCCTCCAACTTGGAGTGGGGATGATCCG